CAAATTAAAAAAAATTAGCCAGGCATGGTGGCGTGTGCCTGTAGTCCTAGCTTAAGTCTCATATTAACTTAATTACAATGGGCAATATAGAGACTTGAAATTTTAAGCCATACGTCCTCTGGAGAATATTTTTAATCTTAACACCTCAATTTTTAAAGAGAATGTTTGTTTTTGACTCAGAATGTTCTTGATGTGAACTATCAGGACTAGGTTATAGAACCCTTACATATATGAAGTCTTGAATTCTGCATGAAATTTTTAGTAGTTTAGCTGTGACTCAGCTAGAAGTAGGAGAACACTCTAAAGAGTCTGATATGGTTTGGCTCTGTGTCCCCACCCAAATCTCATGTTGAATTGTAATCCCCAGTTTTGGGGGAGGGACCTGGTGTGAGGTGATTGGATCATGGGTGCAGATTTCCACCTTGCTGTTCTTGTGATAGTGAGTGAGTTCTCATGAGATCTAGTTGTTTAAAAGTATGTAGCACCTCCCCCTTCACTCTCTCTGTCTCCTTCTCTGCCATGTGAAAATTGTGCCTGCTTCTCCTTCACCTTCTGCCATGACTGTAAGTTTCCCAAGGTATCCCCAGTCATGCCTCCTGTGGAACTGTGAATAAATTAAACCTCTTTTATTTATAAACCACCCAGTCTCAGGTATTTCTTTACAGCAATGTGAGAATGGACTAACACAGTCTGCCTTTAAAATGTTTTTTCTACTGGTTTGATCACCAATATCCATGTTTTGCTGTTTAAAGAGAAATTATTTATCAGAGCTCTAGAGCTAGAACAAAGCAAGTTTTATTAATCTGGGTTCCACCAATTAAGTCTGCAAAATTATTTATTTGTTTGGAATGGCTTTACTGTTGCATTGTTTATACAGAAAAATTTTGCTACTTTTCAAATTAGTATGCAAAAGTTTGTAGTGTCTTATTTATCTATTTAAAATCCATTTTTTTTGAGAAAAGTAAAGTTCTCAAACTTCTCAATTTAATTCTGTATTACCAGATGTTGCTAATTATGAATACGTTGTTACGCTCTCCTCTTTTTCTTCCATGTAAGTTTTAAAATATATTTTTATTATGACTCTTATTTCATCGTATTACAGTATCTAGCACATGTCTTTTCCCTCTTAGATAAGGCACGATTGAATTCGGTCTTACTCAGTTTTTTAAATCTGGAGTAGTGCTTTGCATAAATAAATATTTGTTGAGTGAATAACATTAACTCAATAACAATAAATGTTTGTGAGTGCTTTCAATAAATATTTGTTGAGTGGATAAAGGACAGAATGATGACTAGTCTCCATCTGAAGAGACTCTGAGGCAAGGGAGAGTGTGAAATGGTAACAGACTGCAACTAGGAGTCCCGAGGTGACAGTTTCACCATTAAGGGAAGAGTAGGTAGTTTGGTAGTGAAGGCAAGGAAAGTGAACTTGACTTTGCAAAAAATTAGGTTAATTCTTCCTAGGTTAATACTTCCAACTCCTAGGAAGTATTTAGAGAGTTCTGCGGTGTTTTCAGTTATCAGAATGATTGTGCGGGGTGGGGGTTGTCTGACTGCCAATTATTGGTAGGGAGACAGGAATGTTAGATGTCCCCATGTATGAGGAAGTCCCACACATAAAGAGTTTCCCAAATCTCAAACAGCCCCTGGATATTCTGCTGGATTTTCAGGCTAATGGGCCACATTTTTGTGTGATTATCTGAGCCTAGACCAGTGTTTCTCAAACTTTAATAGGCCTATGAACCACTTGGGAGACTTTGTGTAGTGAAGAGGTTTTTTTTTTTTTTTTTGTATTTTTAAATTGATATATCATAGATGTATATATTTTTGAGGTACATGTGGTATTTTAATACATGTATACAATGTGGAATGATCAAGTCAGGTAATTGGGATGTCCATTAACTGCAACATTGATCCTCTCTTTGTGTTGGGAACATTACAATTCTTCTCTTCTAGCGATTTTGAAATCTACAATAAGTTATTTTTTATTATAATTTCCCTACTGTATTATTGACTATTAGAACTTATCCTTTCTATCTACTTATATTTATGTAATGAAGATTCTAATTCTTCAGGTCTTATGTGGGGCCTGAGAGTCCCATATAACCAGCTCCAGGTGATGCGAAGACACTGGTTCATGGGCCCCCCTCTCAGAAGGTGTGATTGAACTGACTGAGGTGAGTCCTGTGCATCTGGAGCATTGAAGGCTTCCTGGGCTGTTTTAATATGCAGTCATGGTTAACAATTACTAGCCTAGAGACTAACTCTTTTTCCATATAAACACAATGTATTTTTTACACGGTTTTATGTACAGGGAATCTTTTATGACACCATGTAAATGGAAGAAAGGCTGTACTTTGATTTGTTTTGAACTGTTCCTAAGAGTTTTTCACCCTTTGGAAAGAGGAGCCCCTGATGGCAAGACCAGTCATAGTATTTGAGATGTTAATTCATTCCATCTGTATTGGTAGCTTTTGAATTCACAGTGATCCACTTACCTTGGTAAGTTTTTGATTCTTTTAATGGGGCTTCCCTAGTATAATCATGCCCAAACATTTATATATTTATATACATATCTTGATTTACTTTCTTTTTATTTCTCATTTATAATACCATTAATAATTATGTTGATTTTTTAAAAATATGTGGGCAGGGAGATTATTATCTGTCAATGTCATTTTGGGATATTAGTGGGGGAATTGGATCTGATAGAGCTGAAAACTTCTGAATCAGAATGGAGGGCAGGGGAGCGCCATCAAAGGCAGCAGACTTGAGGAAAGGGGCTTTAGGCCATAAGAGAACTGAACACAGTGTCTTCACCTGAAGGTCGGTGGATGGCTTCGTAAGTCTCATTAAAATTATGCCTTTTTTTTTTTTTTTTTTTTTTTTTTGCTTTTAGACAGTCTCACTCTGTCACCCAGGTTGGAATGCAGTGGCACAATCTTGGCTCACTGCAACCTCTGCCTCCCCAGTTCAAGTGATTCTCATGCCTCAGCCTCCTGAGTAGCTGGAATTACAGGTGCACCACCACGCCTGGCTAGCTTTTGTATTTTTAATAGCGACAGGGTTTTGTCATGTTGGCCAGGCTGGTCTCAAACTCCTGACTTCAAGTGATCTGCCTGTTTCGGCCTCCCAGAGTGCTGGGATTATAGGCATGAGCCACTGCATCCGGCCTAAAATTACAACTTTAAATAACAAAAATTTAAATCAAAAAGGAAAAAGCCCATAATCTGACTGCCTATTCAAATGAACTATTTTCATTTCTCTGTGTTTCTTATCCATGTATGTGAAAATAAAAAATAATATAATTGTAGAGTAGATATGACTTTGCATTTTTTCTATTAATATTGTGGTAAACACTTCCCTTTTAATGACTGTATTATGTTCTTAGAACAATGTCTTAACAATTTCTCTAATTAAAACTGAAAATGGTTTTAAATGTTTACAATGAATAACATTAAATATATATTTGTGTGATTAGAATTTATTTTTATAGTGGAGAGATTATTCCTTTAGGGAGAATTGACAGGAGTGAGATCACATGGTCAACACCTATGAATATTTTTATGGTTCTAAAATGTGTTGCCACATAACTTGCTGGAAGGGCTATACCAAATGCAAGTTGGCTTTTAAAGGTCAAACTTATTTTGATACAAGATCAACATATGTGCCACATTAACTAACCATTTATCAACTGGTGAGAAATAAAATTATCATTTCTTAACATACAGAATAAGAATATAATTCAGGAATTGTGCCAACGTCTTCATGTTATGAATGGGCCAGGCAATCACAAACCTCAGTTCTTTTCATTTTGGTCATAATTTTTTTTTTTTAATTGTGATGTAGTCTTGCTCTGTCGTCCAGCCTGGAGTGCAGTGGCATGATTTCAGCTCACTGCAACCTCTGCCTCCTGGTTTCAAGCGATTCTCCTGCCTTGGCCTCCTGAGTAGCTGGGATTATAGCACCCGCCCCCACACCCGGCTAATTTTTCGATTTTTATTAGAGATGGGGTTTCACCATGTTGATCAGGCTGGTCTTGAATTCCTGACCTCAAGTGATCTGCCTGCCTTGGCCTCCTAAAGTGCTGGGATTCAGGTGTGAGCCATCACGCCTGGCCCTTTGGTCATAATTTTAAAGTAGATCCCCTCTTCTCTAAGGCACATTTTGGACACACTGTGACCCAAGCCTCAGGTATGATTGTTTCCATCCTTCTTTTTGCCACAGCATACGTGAGAGGGCTGAGGCTGTAATTTTACTTGTGTATATGCATGTTAGGCCTCAATTTACTTCATAATCTACAACACTTGAGAGGATTAAAAATGAAGATTATGGCCGGTGAGATGGCTCATGCCTGTAATCCCAGCACTTTGGGAGGCTGAGGTAGGAAGGTTGCTTGAGCCCAGAAGTCTGAGACAGCCTGGGCAACATGGCGATTGCCATCTTCACAAAATATTTTTAAAATGAGCCAGGTGGCATGCGCCTGTAGTCCTAGCTACTTGGAAGGCTGAGGCGGGAGGAGCCCTTGAGGGGTTGAGGCTGCCATGGGCTGTGATTTTACCACTGCATTTCAGCTTGGACCACAGAATGAGACCTTGTTTCAAGAAAAAAAAAAAAAAATGAAAATTACACCTGTGAGAGGTGACAACATGCTAGCAGCCCCCCATCAAGTCCAGCAGGCGCTGGCTGGCCGCGCCAAGTGCGGGCCCGCTGAGCCCGCCGCCACCTGTAACACAGGCTGGCCGCGTGCAGCCCGAGCTCCTTGGCTCAGCCAAGAGGTGAAGGAAAAGTGGAAGCTGGTTCCAGACAAACCAAAGCTCCCAACTCTGAAAAGTCGGGGGTTGTTAGAGAGCCCTTTCCCAGAAAGCCTGACACCAGTGTCTTTAGTCCCGGGCTGCACTAGTCGTCTTTAACTGGCCGACAAGTGCCCGGTATTAGCCCCTGAATTCTAAGGAAAAATAGGACAGAATAGCAAGTGAAAGGGGTCCGATGGTACTCACTGCTTGGCGACAGGCGATAGTCTCACCGCTTGGTGATAGGCAATAGTCTCACCGCTTGGCGATAGGCGATAGTCCCATCTATCTTATCTATCCTGACCCTTGCCCCCTGGGTCCTAATGCCTGCCAGATAAACTTCCTCTAGCCTCTTTTCTCTGAGGCTAGTCTGGCTTCTAAAAATCACTCCCCGTCTCTGGTGCTTTTCTAGTTTCTCCTATAGGAATGATTTCCAATATAAACTCCAGGACTCTGTTACCTTCCTTAGGCACCCAGGCTCACCAATTAGAAAGACATAATTTTTGCCCAAAGCCCCGTCGTAGGGGGGACTTACCTGGAATTTTAGGATCCCTCCTCAGATGAACAGGCCTAATGAAAGCGATTCCTGAAGCTAGGATATGGGGAGCATCAGAAATTGTATCCTTCCTGTTCATATAAGTGAGGACAAAAGGTGTCACTCTTCCAACCCTGGAGATCCCTTCCCACCCTCAGGGTATGGCCCTCCACTTCGTTTTTGGGGCATAACATCTTTATAGGACACAGGTAAGATCCCGATACCAACAGGAGAGTGCTTAGGACTCTAACAGGTTTTTGATAATGCGCCTGTAAGGGCCACTAAATCCAACCTTCCTCGGTCCTCCTTGTGGAGGAAAACTAGTGTTTCTGCTGCTGCGTCAGTGAGTGCAACTATTCTGATCAGCAGGGTCCAGGGACTGTTGTGGGTTCTTGGGCAGAGGGAGAAACAAAACAAACCAAAACCACGAGAGGTTTGTCTTTCAGATGGGAAACACTCAGGCATCAACATGCTCACCCTTGAAATGCATCCTAAGCCATTGGGACCAATTTGACCCACAAGCCCTGAAAAAGAGGTGGCTCATTTTTTTCTGCACTAAGGCCCGGCCCCAATATTCGCTCTCTGATGGGGAAAAATGGCCACCTGAGGGAAGTATAAATTACAATACTATCCTGCAGCTTGACCTTTTCTGTAAGAGGGGAAGCAGATGGAGTGAAATACCTTATGTCCAAGCTTTCTTTTCATTGAAGGAGAATACACAACTATGCAAAGCTTGCAATTTACATCCCACAGGAGGACCTTTCAGTTTACCCCCATATCCTAGCCTCCCTATAGCTCCCCTTCCTATTAATGAGAAGCCTCCTCTAATCTCCCCCACCTGGAAGGAAACAAGCAAAGAAATCTCCAAAGGATCACAAAAACCCCCAGGCTATCGGTTATGTCCCCTTCAAGCTGTAGGGGGAGGGGAATTTGGCCCAACCCGGGTACATGTCCCCTTCTTCCTCTTTGATTTAAAGCAGATAAGGCAGACCTGGGGAAGTTTTCAGATGATCCTGATAGGTACATAGATGTCCTACAGGGTCTAGGGCAAACCCTAGACCTCGCTTGGAGAGATGTCATGCTACTGTTAGATCAAACCCTGGCTTTTAATGAAGAGAGTGCAGGTTTGGCTGCAGCCCGAGAGTTTGGAGATACCTGGTATCTTAGTCAAGTAAATGATAGAATGACAGCCGAAGAAAGGGACAAATTCCCTACCGGTTAGCAAGCCATCCCCAGTATGGATCCCCACTGGGACCTTGACTCAGCTCATGGGGACTGGAGTCGTAAACATCTGTTGACTTGTGTTCTAGAAGGACTAAGGAGAATTAGGAAAAAGCCCGTGAATTATTCAATGATGTCCACCATAACTCAGGGAAAGGAAGAAAATCTTTCTGCCTTTCTTGAGTGGCTATAGGAGGCCTTAAGAAAATATCTCCCCTGTCACTCGACTCACTCGAAGGTCAATTGATTCTAAAAGATAAGTTTATTACCTAATCAGCTGCAAATATCAGGGGAGAGCTCCAGAAGCAAGCCCTGGGCCCTGAACAAAATCTGGAGGCATATTAAACCTGGCAACCTCAGTGTTCTATAATAGGGACCAAGGGGAACAGGCCCAAAAGGAAAAGCGAGATCAGAGAAGGGCCACAGCCTTAGTCATGGCCCTCAGACAAGCAAACCTTGGTGGTACAGAGAGGACAGAAAATGGAGCAGGTCAATCAACCTGTAGGACTTGTTATCAGTGTGGTTCACAAGGACACTTTAAAAAAGATTGTCCAATGAAAAACAAGCCGCCCCCTTGTCCATGTCCGCTATGCTGAGGCAATCACTGGAAGGTGCACTGCACCAGAGTGCAGTGGTTCTCTGGATCAGAAGGCCCCAACCAGACAATCCAACAACAGGACTGAGGGTGCCCGGGGCAAGCGCCAGCTCATGTCGTCACCCTCACTGAGCCCCGGGTATGCTTAACCATTGAGGGCCGGGAAATTGACTTCCTCCTGGACACTGGCACAGCCTTCTCAGTGTTAATCTCCTGTCCTGGATGACTGTCCTCAAGGTCCATTACCATCCAAGGAATCCTGGGACAGCCTGTAACCAGGTATTTCTCCCACCTCCTCAGTTGTAATTGGGAGACTTTGCTCTTTGCACATGACTTTCTTGTTATGCCTGAAAGTCCCACACCCTTATTAAGGAGGGATATATTAGCCAAGGCTGGAGCTATTATCTACATGAACATGGGGAACAAGTTACCCATTTGTTGTCCCCTACTTGAAGAGGGAATCAACCCTGAAGTCTGGGCATTGGAAGGACAATTTGGAAGGGCAGAAAATGCCCGCCCAGTCCAAATCAGGCTAAAAGACCCCACCACTTTTCCTTATCAAAGACAATATCGCTTAAGGCCTGAAGCTCATAAAGGATTACAGGATATTGTTAAACATTTAAAAGCTCAAGTCTTAGTAAGGAAATGCAGCAGTCCCTACAACACCCCAATTCTAGGAGTGCAAAAACCGAATGGTCAGTGGAGACTAGTGCAAGATCTTAGACTCAATGAGGCAGTAATTCCTCTACATCCAGTTGTACCCAACCCCTATACCCTGCTCTCTCAAATGCCAGAAGGAGCAGAATGGTTCACTGTTCTGGACCTCAAGGATGCCTTCTTCTGTATTCCCCTGCACTCTGACTCCCAGTTTCTCTTTGCCTTTGAGGATCTCACAGACTACATGTCCCAACTTACGTGGATGGCCTTGCCCCAAGGGTTTAGGGATATCCCTCATCTGTTTGGTCAGGCACTGGCCCAAGATCTAGGCCACTTGTCAAGACCAGGCACTCTGGTCCTTCAGTATGTGGATGATTTACTTTTGGCCACCAGTTCGGAAGCCTCTTGCCAGCAGGCTACTCTAGATCTCTTGAACTTTCTAGATAATCAAGGATACAAGGTGTCTATGTCGAAGGCCCAGCTTTGCCTACAGCAGGTCAAATATCTAGGCCTAATCTTAGTCAGAGGGACCAGGGCCCTCAGCAAGGAATGAATACAGCCTATACTGGCTTATCCTTGCCCTAAGATGTTAAAACAGTTGCAGGGGTTCCTTGGAATCACCAGCTTTTGCCGACTATGGATCCCCAGATACAGCGAGATAGCCAGGCCCCTCTATACTCTAATCAAGGAGACCCAGAGAGCAAATACTCATCTAGTAGAATGGGAACCAGAGGCAGAAACAGCCTTGAAAACCTTAGAGCAAGCCCTTGTACAAGCTCCAGGTTTAAGCCTTCCGACAGGACAAAACTTCTCTTTATACGTCACAGACAGAGCAGGAACAGCTCTTGGAGTCCTTACTCAAACTTGTGGGACAACCCCACAACCAGTGGCATACCTAAGTAAGGAAATCGATGTAGTAGCAAAAGACTGGCCTCACTGTTTACAGGTAGTTGTGGCAATGGCCATCTTAGTGTCAGAGGCTATCAAAATAATGCAAGGAAAGGGTCTCATTGTGTGGACTCCTCATGATATAAATGGCATACTAGGTGTCAAAGGAAGTTTATGGCTATCAGACAACCAACTACTTAGATACCAGGCGCTACTCCTTGAGGGTTCGGTGCTTCAAATACATACGTGCGTGGCCATCAACCCTGCCACTTTTCTCCCAGAGGATGGGGAACCAATCAAGCATGACTGCCAGCAAATTACAGTCCAGACTTACGCCGCTCGAGATGATCTCTTAGAAATACCCTTAGCTAATCCTGACCTTAACCTATATACTGATGGAAGTTCATTTGTGGAGAATGGGATACGAAGGGCAGATTATGCCATAGTTAGTGATGTAACCGTACTTGAAAGTAAGCCTCTTCCTCCAGGGACCAGTGCCCAGTTAGCAGAACTAGTGGCATTTACCCAAGCCTTAGAACTGGGAAAGGGAAAAAGAATAAACATGTATACAGATAGCAAGTATGCTTATCTAATCCTACATGCCCATGCTACAATATGGAAAGAAAGGGAGTTCCTAACCTCTGGGGGAACCCCCATTAAATACTACAAGGAAATTATGGAGTTATTGCATGCAGTGCAAAAACCCAAGGAGGTGGCAGTCTTACACTGCCAAAGTCATCAGAAAGGGGAAGGAGAGGGGAGAACAGCAGCATAAACTGCTAGCAGAGGCAGGGAAAGACCAGCAAGAAGGAAAGAGGGAAAGAGACAGAAAGTCAGAGAGACAGAAGGAAAGAGAGGAAGAGACAAAGGAGCCAGAGAGAGAGAGAGAGAGAGAGATAGAAGTAGTCAAGGAAAAACAGTGTACCCTATTCCTTTGAAAGCCAGGGTAGATTTAAAGCCTATAATTGATAATTGAAGGTCTTCTCTGTAACCCTGTAACACTATAATACCACCTTGTTGTCAGTGCAAACAAGGGCATAGCCCGAAATCACTGAGGCCACTGACAACCCATAGCCTTCCTATCAAAAATTCTTAACCCAGCAGGTTTTCCTAACAGGAGATCTAAATCTTCATTGCCATACAAAGGTTCAACCAGACATAGGAGGAACTCCCTTCAGGACAGGACGATGATAGATGGTTCCTCCCGGTGATTAAGGAAAAAGACACAATGGGTATTCAGTAAGTGATAAGGAAACCCTTATAGAAGCAGAGTTAGGAAAATTGCCTAACAATTGGTCTGCTCAAACGTGTGAGCTGTTTGCATTCAGCCAAGTTATATTCTTCTTATGTGGAACATCCGACCTATATCTGCCTCCTCACTAACTGAACAGACACCTGCACCTTAGTCTTTCTAAGTC